GAGGAGGAGGATACTTTCGCGGATGATTGTGTTCCGCCGCGCGTAATCGCAACGATCGGGGGACGAGGGAAGGGGGTTGGCTGGGTGGCGGAGCTTCTTCGAAGCCCCGTTTGATGTTCACGCTTTCGTCGTTTGGATGCAACTTTAAAAATTGATGTACGCTTCGCGTTGGAAAATGGGGAAAGTTTGGTTTGGGAGAGACTTTCGAGTGGCGAATTTCGATAGAGCATATTCGCCATCTTTCGAGTTGTAAAATATTTCTTTACGACCGATAGATAGACGCGTCGTTCGAAAAAAATCGATCAAATCCGACAACAACAGCCTAATCGACTTCTTCCTCGATATTAAATCATGCTCGATATTAAATCCAATAAAGAGCGTTCACGGAGTGTCGGTCAATTCGAGGTACGAGGACGCGTAATCTTGCGAGTTCTCTCGTCGAGAAGATTAAAAACAATTGGTTGTGAAGTGGGTGTATGCGCAAACACGGCGTCTCCCTAGCTTGGCTCCCGAGGGAGGTCGCGACATCCCACGATATTCGAGGGCACTACGAACGGATTAGATCCAGGACAAATTAGAGGAGAGAGAAGCATCGGTCGCCAGGAAGCCGGGAATATATCAGGGTAGAGGGCAAACGTGTCCCGCTGGTCCCGTAATAGCTAACTGGATTTGATTAATCGATTCGGTTACAGCCTCCTACTTAGCCATCCTGACGCTTCCTGCCGCGTCTAATATCGATCATTCTCACGCCAAGGATACGCCACGAATCCTTGTGACGAATACGAAAAATATTCGAAACCAGGCCTCCCTTTTTCTTTTCTTTTTTTTTTCTTCTTTCACTTTATTATGCGAAATAATCGAACCTTTTCGATTTAAATGGAAAATTCGTGTTCGAAAAAGATCTATGCCGACAAGACTTTTTTTCTAAAACACGTGTAAAAAATTATTAATCTTTCAAATTTTATCAAGATTTTATCTCCTTTCTGGTTCTTAGAAATCGGTCGAGTTGACTTTAACAATTGTAATTCACACAGGTGCTCCATTATTGTTATTATCTATGGAAGAAGAAGGGAATAAGCGCGCAATAAGAAGCAATATCCACGACGTTTTCTATTAGTTAGGACGTTACGTCGCAACACCATTCTCTTCGTGTTATTAGGATCCGTTGCAGTTACTTACGTCGACGTCCTCCAACGTGCAAAGCGATTGGTTCGACGGCTTGCGGTAAATAAGCGTACTTAAAAAGCCGGGAGCAGGAAGCAACGCGGAGCCGGGGTGGTGTAAAGAGGCCTCTCTACGATCTTGTGAAACAATGCATCGCGCGAACTCCATACTCGGTGTCTTAAGCTGCGCGCAGTCGAGTCTCAAATATTTATTTTCCATTCGGTTCTGCCGTTCTTTTCTTTTTTTTTTTCTTTTTCTTTCTTTCGCGTAAATCGGCTTTCGGCGTATTCCGTGGAAAAATTTTCCAATTTTCGACGGAAGAAACGGATCTGAAAAAAAAAAATGAGATCGAATCTCTTCCAATATTTTCTTTCCACGAATTCGACGAATCGTCGTTTCATTTCAGTCAGTAGCTTCTGCTTTAATCAAAATAATTTTGACCTAAATTGATAATCACAGTACCCGTTCAAGTCACGTTTTTGAGACTAGATTGATAGAGTAAATAGAGCGAAATTTGTTTAACGGTTGGAAAAGGCGTCGCTCGGAAGGCGGTTACGTATAGAGAGGCGCGTGTATGCGCGAGGAAGAAATGTTGGATAAAATTAAGCCGGCACGCGAGAAATTTGCTTGAATCGACTGAATGCGCCCGACGCTTCCTCATTAAGTTCTTCGTCTTCGTGACGACCCAGCAGGAATACTTTCCTTCGCGTAGAGCGTAACATCGGTAAGTAACATCGACTATACCTTTTGGTTAAATAATTACGTACCAGGAATATTGCAAAACTCTTGCGAAACTTTCAAGAGGGAAGATAAATAACGGGTGATACGATTTTTTCTTTCAGAAAAGATTAGATAATCTCTAATGAACAGAGAAATATTATTTGAAAAGGAACAACAACGTTGCAAATGTTGCACAATGCATTTTACTTTGGGATAAAAAACGATACTCTTTTCATTCCTGACGTTCTTTTTTTTCTTTCTCTTTTTCTTTTTTTTTCTTCTCTTTTTTTCTCTCTTTTTTTTTTTTTTTTTTTTTTTTTTAGCTCTTTCGAGCGAGTTTCGCCAATGATTATAAAGCTATTCCCTCGTTTGACTTTGGGGAAGCGTTTTGAAAAAGCGGTGAAATGCAGCGCGAGTGAAAGCAAGAGAGTAGCAACAGTGGCGCGGAAAGAAAAAGGAAGGATTAACAATGCATTTTAAAAGCAGCCTCCGCTATTTTCGCATGCCATGTGTTCTACGTCGCCCACCGTTTACGAAACTGTTCGACTCAAAATTCGTCGGAATTCCTCTCTTTCGCCTTTCTTTTCACAGACTTTCGTGGCATTTTCGGTGCTCACACGTTCGGAAAACTAGCTCCTTTTTTTTTTTTTTTTTATTCAACTACGGTGAAGGACTTTATTTCCCGCGTCAACCGCGTGACAATTTATCCAAAGCAATTCTCGGTGTCAACTTCAGCAGCGGATTTGCATTCTGGGAATGGATTGCACGACAATGAAATATCAGCGTATTCAGAAAAAGATTTTATAAAGGATATTAAAGTCAATAATTCTATCCATTTTTTTTCTCTCTCTCGCTTTTCCATTACAAATTCTCTCGTAAGCGTATCTCTAATTTATACAAATATCATCTGGATTCTTTTTTCTTTCCTATTTTTCATAAAATAAAAATAAATTTTAGTAATTAATTAAATCTACTATAGTAGGATAGTAAAGGTACAGGCCGTTGCTAGCCGTAAGGGAGAAGTTGCGATAGAAATAATTTGGCGGAAAGAAGTAGGACGATGGGGGCGGAGTAATCGTATCCGTGCAGCCACGTGACGTCAGCAATGTGTTTCGTGGGTCCAATTAGTCGAAGAACACGTATAATTGGAATTAAGCTCTTAATTAATAGTTAATTAGCTGCCGGTAGTAGCGTCACCAGCGACTGGCAACGGTAGCAACAACTGTAGTAACGAGTTAGCCCCGGGGAGAGGGTTTCATTGTGGAAGCGGCGCGCGCCACGGAGCCGGTTTTCGCTCGTTAATTCGAAATTAATTTATAATTGATAATTATTTTCGGGCTATGGGTCCTATCCGCTTGCCATCTCGACGAACCTTTCTAATTTCCTGCCTCTCCTCGTCCGTACAAAATTGCCATTTACCCTGCAAAGCACGCACAAATTGTCGAGTCACGAGTGAGGTAGGGGAAAAAAAATAAAAAAAAAAAAAGAAAAAAGAGGGAAAAGAAGAAAAATACGAAGAAAAAGGGAAGAAATTTTTTTTTTTTTCTTTCTTTTCCACGTGTCGTTGACATGTGCACGCGCACGCGCTATTTTTTCCCTTTCTATAAATCTGGCAATCTCAGATTTCTCAGACGATTTCAAATCCATCCAGGATCTGATCTGGTCAACAAAAATTTCTCGAATTATTCTTTTTCCTTTCCCTCGTCTCCTCTTCGTTTCTTTCCTTCTTCTTTTTTTTTTTTTATTTTCGATTTGAATTTTTCCCTCTCCTCCGGGGAAGCCGGTTCCATCGAACCATTCGCAATTCCGTTATCGGTAATAAATTTATCGGGTATTTTCCCGGAATATCGAGTGTCAAGTCCGCGCTGCGACAGTCGATATCGCGCGCGTGGAAATTACGTTCTACGAGCGAGTTTTTCCGATCGAAACGCGCGTGGTACGCGCGCACCACGTCCACGTCCGTTAATTGCGTTTCTTTCTTTTTTTCCTTTCTTTTCTTTTCTTTTCTTTTCTTTTCTTTTCTTTTTTTTTTTTTTTTTTTTATCACCCGTGTACACCGAGTGGATAATGCTTTAAATGCGACGCCGCGAGTGGTGGACAAAGGAAACGGGCGATAAATGGAAAAATAGAATCGCGTTTTGCGCTTCTTAGTTGCGTGCCGATGCTTCAAAGGGCGAAATTGGAACATGAGAAACGGTTACGCGAATTTGGGTTGCTCCGAATCCTTATTCCTAGCCTTTTCATCCACCCTTAATGCCGTGTCTGGCAATTTCAAATTTTCTCTTTTTTTTTTTAATTATCGAGAAACGTGTTGCTTTTTTTTTTATCGGAAAAGCTCGAAAGGTCGAAAAAGATATTCGGCGAAATATTGATATTTTCATCGAGTTATCGTAGATCGTCATCAACTATTAACCAAGGGAAATAGAAGAGGGGTTGCGCGCACTCGTAGACCACTCATTTGATACAATTTGCGTGAATACGCGTGGTCTCGATTTATTGGAAAATCGGATATAATGGGTAATTTGATCCCCGATGTATGCGCGCCGCTTCAATCCGGGATCGAATGGATTATTGGTTCGCGTTAATGATGATTTTTTGAAGGAAGAGGATACAGCCGCAAATTATCCAAGCTTATTTTATCCAAACGTATTATGCGTTTGTTTAACGCACGACATCGTTAGTTTTGAAAAAATTTTCACGTATTATCCGCTATATTTTCCCGGAGATTAAATAAATTTAACGATCTTGTTACAGGTGTCGGGCACAATATAGAATCCGGGAAAGACTTCACGGTCGACGGTCTCTCCGGTTTCAGCAAAAAGAAGAAGAAGAAGCGTCGTC